TTAGGCCAAAATCAGGGGAGTGGGGTGTACTTTGAAAGAAAAAAAAGAAAGAGAAAGAAAAAGAGAGGGATGGGGGAAAGAAAGGGAGGGAGGGAGGGGAGAAAGAGAAAGAAAAAAGAAAGGGAGGGAGGGAAAAAGGAGAGGAAGGAAGGACCACAAACCTTGGCACTAGATACAGCTTCAGAAGATGCTTTGAAACAACACAGCAATCCAGGGCTGGAAAGTATCTGGAGGTCATCTAGTCTAACCCCCTGCTACAGAAAGTGAGTTTCTGTCTTTTGACCCTAGTCACATGACCACATAGCCACTCCCACCCAGTCACATGATCACCAAGCTACACCCACCAAGCCATGCCCACAGAACGGGTAGTAAAAAAAATTTGAATCCTACCACTGATCAAACATCCATATCTGTTTATCCAAACTCCTTGGAAAGAAGTTGATAGGACAAAAAAAATATGCCAAAATGCCAGTCTGAGCATCTGGCGAACTGTGTAATGGACAATAATAAAACAAACAATAATTAATAATTTAAAAATAATTTAAAAAAAAACAAAAACAAACAACAATCAAAAAACTTAAAGGCAGACTCGATGGACCACTGGATATTTCTGCCAATAGTTTTCTATATTGAAATGTCTTTGAATATTAGTAGCTTGGGTTGGCAGTTATGCTGTTGGTTTGAGCTCAAAGCTTGGTGATTTGGTTGCAAATGTTTTGTCCCCATTCATTGTCAGTACACAGCTTTCTGTTTCTATGCTAAAATTATATTTTTGTAAATCAACACTGCTTTATGAAATTATTCTATTAGTAGTCATTATCTACTAATTTTGTGTATGCTTAAATTTTAAATACTTTAATACCATTCTGACAATGGTCAGAAAATGATATATGATATTGTTACATGTATCCTTCTTATGGCCAAGTTAATATGTGTTCAGAGATGTCTGCACAAACAATTATGTTAAAAGTGTTAATTACCTGCATTGTGACATCATGATGCAATTATTGCCTGATTGATATTCCAATGCCAAAATCAATATTGGATTAAAGTAAATATCTTATGGTTTCATATCTGCTCTACTTTCTCTTTCTCTTATCTCTCTTATCTCTCCCCACCCCCAGAACTAAGCATACTATTAAAAAATGCCTTTCTGTTTTATCTTTATCCCCAGCTGGCAAGGACAGCCTAAAGTTATCTTTAGCTGTCATATGTTTCAGTAGTACCTTTCCTCTACTTCAAACACAATTTTGGCCATGGGAATAATTTAGATGTTTTCACGGCAAGTCTACAAAGATTTAATCAGCAATTGGGAATTTTCAGTTCTTATTGGCGACATTAGGCTGTTGCCAAATGCTCCTTCCCCTCAAATCCTTGGGCATTGTTTTGGGCAGTGGGAAAGTTCAGCTTCTCTCTCTGTGCCAGCCAAATCTCCAAAATCACAGAGAGGATGGAAACAGTATATCACTCCATACCTCTGGAATGTCTAAATATAGGGTGATAAAAGAAATGGAGAGACAAGATCTTTCATCTTCTCATCTCTGATTCCATGGAGTTGCTTTATGTGACTAGAGACTTGTGGACCAGCTTCCCATAAACAGTACTTTTCAGAAAGTCCATAAAATAAGACATTCCCCATGGTATTGGAAACACAGTGAAATTGAAAAGATAAATATGATAAACCTCATGTTAGGCAAGCCCTTTCTCAGGCTACTATTGAAGATGAGTTCTCTGAAGTTTGGGGGGGGGGGGGGGGGGGTAGAGATAAGACCCAGGTTAACAAATTATTTGGAAAACAGGTGATAGACAAGGGGGACTGATTGCAAGGAATGTCTTCCGATCCCTGTCAATGAATAAGAGAGATATCAAGTGTTAGAAAAGCTTAAAAAACATAGAGGGGCATTTGGAAGAATGTTCAGTATGCCACAAATGTAGTTATTTTATTCTAAGGTTGTGTCTCAAAAGACAGCTTCCTTCTGTCAAGTCAAACCAGCTTTTAGACAGCTGTTAATGGCACCAAATTTAATTGCTTCAAGGAGGAATCCTCTACATTTTATTTAATTGTTTGACTATGTTGTCAAAGCTTAATCCCCAGGGGATACATTTAGGGGTTTTACAGTAGAGTTGCTGTGCCCCTTTATAAATACACACTTCAGATAGTGTTTTGATCTAATATATTATCCTATCCTTTGAATGTGAAACTCCCAGATGGTTGGTGGTGATTTGTTTTCAGTTCAAAACATTTAAAACACTGTTAAGGGCTTGGGGAAAAGGAAGTGAAAAATTTCAAAAGCAGAAGGCAAGAAGTTGAAACTCCAATGTGATCCCCAAATTTAGAAACACATCTCTTATATACCGAAAGAGGCATTGACAAAAGAGAATATTTTTAGCTCGGGGTTGAATTGTGAGGTCCTTGGTGCTCTCTGACATTGGTTGTTTTCTTGCAAATACTTCATTAGCAAACTGTAACATGTCAGGTAACATTATCAGTGCTAGTATGGAGTGGGGTTTGCTCTTATTTTATGTACTAGTGGCTTGCTCTATCAGTGTTGGTAGGAATGGTCTTGGTAGTTGGGCTATTTGCTGTTATCTTATTTGGTGATTTTCTATAACAAAACTGGTAAATGGATACATGACACAATCTTCAAATTTTAATCATCAATAACATATAATTTATGAAGCAAGAGCAATATTGCTATATTTACATAAATATGTTTCTGTTATTGTTTTCTCCTTTGATTATTTTATTTAATTATGAGAATGCACTTTATTCATTTTATTCAATGTTGTTAGAATCTATATTTTAAAGAAAATATATACACTGAAACATCTTAATATACGCATCAAATAATTTACAATTTAATTAATACAATAATTTAATTAATTCAATTTACCTTTGAGGGGCAATTAGGTGTAGTGGCTAAGGCACCAGGCTTGAGACAAGAAAACTATGAGTTCTAACACTGCCTAGAACACAAAGCCAGCTGGTTGACCTTGGACCAGTCACTCATACCCTAAGAAGAAGGTAACGAGAAACCACTTTTGAAAAACCTTGCCAAGAAAACTGTAGGGATTAGTCCAGGCAGATACTAAAGGTCAAAAACGGACTCAAAGACACAATAAACAAGCAAACAACCCACTTGTTGCTTTACACTGAAGTAGTTTGCATATACACAGGTGCACTCGTACACTGCAGAGCTTGGGATTTGAAGAAGAAAGCTGAACATATGTGGGCATCATGTAGCATCTGTTGGCAACTCCTTAAACCAAACTTATCTTTTATCAGAATCATGCTTCAGCTACAGAAGTAGTTGTGCAATCCTAGGGAAGCTGCTGCTGCTTTAAATTAAACATGTGCTTTCCCTGGCATTGTTCTACTCAAAAATTGAAAAAATAGGTGAAAAGCTAAGGTCATTTAAAAAGAAAAAGATGAAATTCTCACTAGAGAGAAGAACTAACTAAGGAATCTAGTACAACGAGACCCTAACACTGACTTGTGATGCCTCTCCATACAGAGTCGAACCATCCTGAGCCACAAGTTCCAAGATGGAACAGAGGCACCTCTCACATTTTTTTGGAGAATGCTGTCTGGGGCTGAGATAAATTACAGCCAGCTCAACAAAGAGGCACTGGCTGCTGTTGCAGAGATTAAAAGATTCCATGAGTATGTATACAGGCAGAGGTTTGAGCTTATAACTGGCCACAAACCATTATTAGGCCTCCTCACAGGTGACAGACAGACACCATAAATCCTGTCCCCATGCATGATTAGATGGACTGAATTCTTAGCGGCCTATCAATATAAGCTCATACACTACCCGGGCTTGAACATAGGCAAAGCAGATGCGCTTAGTAGATACCCATTAGCAAAACAAGTGGAAGACTCTGCAACAATAGCAACAGTACTAATAGTAGAGACACTACAAACAGGACTGATCACCACCACCAAGGTGGCTAAAAAATCCAAAGAAGACCCGACCATTGCACAAGTACTGAACTTGATGTGGAGCGGGTGGCCTACAAATCCAACAAACGTAGCATTTAGGCCATTCAAAGCGGGACAACATAAACTATCTGTACAGAAGGGTTGCCTTCTGTGCGGGAGCTGTGTAGTGATACCCCACCAACTACGAGACTCATTGATGCAGACACTACATGAAGGTGTTAGCTCGCAGTTACCTGTGGTGGCTATCCATGGACAAAGACATTGAACAGTGGGTGGCCTGCTGCAAACCCTGCCAAGAGACATGACCATCATCCCCTCCCATAATGCCGCCACAAGAATGGGAGATGCCTAGGAGTCCATGGTCCAGACTACACGTCGACTTTGCTGGGCCAGTTTACGGTAAATTCTTTTTAATTGTCATCAATGCCTATTCCAAGTGGTTAGAAATGGCTGTCATGAGCATGACCACTACAGATGCCACCACCAATGTACTCCACATACTGTTCACAACCCATGGCCTGCCAGATCTGTGGGTCTCTGACAATGAGCCACTGTTCATAGACAGGCCATTCAAAATATTCCTGGAGAACAGGGGTGTCCACCATGCACTCATTACTCAATTTCACCGTGCAGGAAATAGTCAAGAGGAGAGGGTGGTGTGCATGACAAAAGAGGCCCTAAGTAGAATGGGGCAAGGCAACATACAAGAAAAGCTAGAAAGGTATTTATTAACCCAGCATGCAGAAGCCCAGTGGAGCTGTTAATGGGCAGGAGATTGAGAACACCGCTGGATAGAATATACCCCAACTACAGGATGGACAACCAACAAAAAGAGGAAGAAAAAGTCAGACATTTCCAACAAGGTCAAGAACTATTGCCTATTTGGGTACCCGGCCATATATTTGAAGTCACAGGGCCACGGTCATACCGTGTGGAACTCGGCAACAGTAAGGTGTGGTGCAGACACATCGACCAGCTGCAGAGACACACAGAGTGACTGACCGATGACGATTTGGAGGACAATGAACTACAGAGAATGAGGAGAGTGACTTACCTGAGACAGAGATCGCAGTGCCCAAAGTGGCATCACTTTGGGCACTGGCATGAACCCCCCACCGGCTGAAGTCCTGAGGGATACATCCAGTGACCCTGAAATTAAACAAAGAGACACTGATGTGTGTAATAGGAAACCCAGAATCCTGGAAGATCGAAGGTTGAATCGATCCCAGAAATGTCCAGCCTATTTGAAGGATTATGTCTGTAGTTAACTAAATTATAATTAAGTTATAATATAATAATTAAAGTATAATAGCTAATAGTTAACTAATAATAGTTATAATAGTTAATAATTAAAGTAACAAGTTTTAAAATACCAGCTGGAGTCAAAGAGGGAAGTAATACCCACAAATCCAGAATTTTGACAACAAAAGCACAGTCTGAGAGTCAATTCCAAAGTCCACAAGCAAAGTCTGAGATTCAAAATACAAAAAACACAGTCCAAAGTTCAAGAGACAGGATCCAGGAAAGCCATGAAGCTGCACATCAAAACAATCAGGTGTTCCTGAAAAACACACATCTGGTTAAATCACCCTTCCCCAACTGTTCCTTGTGAAAAGAGGCAGGTTTGTTTCTTCACAAACAACCTTGCTGACCTCCTCTGGACTTCCCTCCACTCTGTTCTCCTCGCCTGTGGATCGAGGTGGTCTGAAGCCTGTCATCTCTGCTGGTCCTCTGCAGCTATTCTGCTCCTGCAGATGGCTCTCTGTCCAGTTGCTTCCCCCACATTGCCAGACAGCCCTGCAACTGCCTCATCCTTAGTGCCTGGACTCTCCAATTCAGAAGGGACTGTGCCCTCCACATTGGACAGTACTGGTTCCAACTCCTCCTTCTCCTGTGAACTGGGATACGACAAAGCCATGACAGGACTGCTACTCGTTGTTTACTTGCTTGTCTGCCTCGCAGAATCACATTGTTTGAGTTGGGTAGCCCTATAAACAGTGGTTTCAGTCAGTTTTCACCAGTTCGGGTGAACCGGTTGTTAAATTACACCCACCTCGGCTATCAAGGTGGACCCTGGGCACTGCACTGTGCTACAATTGAGAAACGGGCAATGGAGTGGCCAGCTCAGGGGAAGGCCACTTTCCCTCATGCCAGCTGCTCCATTGCCCGTTTCTCCATTACAGTGCAGTGCCCAGGATCCACTTTGATCTCTCTATCTGCCATAGGCTAGCTCAGTCTCTCAAATTTGCTTGCCGTAAGTCTGCACTGAATTTGCTGAATTTGCAAGCAAACCTTCAGTCCTAAGGTTCAAGCAGAGCCGAAGATCTAAAGACTAGCTAGAAAGCAAGAAATCCAACCATTTCCTGCTTCCTAGCTAATCTAAATCTCCCGGCACAGCAGAACAGATGATGGTCGGAAAAATAGAAATTTATCAGGCAAGTTTACCGGGTAAGGAGTGGGCAGGGAGGGTTCCCGCAAGCTGTGTGGGTGGCGTAGCCTTGTGTTTCTGCGCAGCCTGGATTTGAGGGGTGCTCTGGGGGTGAGATTTCTCTGCGGCCCACCAAAATTTTCTCACGGCCCACCGGTTGGCGGCCGCTGGTTTAAAAATCATAAATAGCCTCTGTATACTCGAAATCCCCCTTTAGATACATTAAAGGTTAGGTTTACATTCTGATGAAAATTGCTATGGTTTAGCGATTGTCAGTACAAAACAATATAGATTAGGATTCTGGAAACAGGATGTGTTGATTGTACCCACTATCTTTTGAGTTTTCAAATGAGCAAAGCTGACTGCTTATTGTCTCACAGATATGTTATGAGAAAGCTCTCTATCATGTTATTTAATAGTATTTTTAAAAATTAGTGTCCCTTTTTCATTCCTTATTTTCCAAACTAGCACATTCAAGTTGGTTGGAAATGAAACATGAAATGGAAACAAAAACTAAAGCAATATCATTGTTCTTTGGGAACATTTTCACTTTCCCAGTTACTATTTTTTTAAATCGCTGTGTTATCCATCCTTCTATGGTCTTCCTGGTTTGCTGACAGGCTTGTTTTCTTTTCTGCTGACAGGTTAAAGTGAAACTAGTATGCCTCATAGGTGGGGCGTGAACATGGCCCAGAGAAAAAGAAAACAGGCAATGGCATGAAAACAAACATCAGGAAAGGATTAGCTGCAGCCTTCTCTAAAGAGGAAAGGTTCTTCTTATTTCCTTGGGTGTTGCCTTAGGGTGCAACGTTAAAGAAATTGTTCTCCAAACATGGGAAGAAGGGAAATACTGAAGAAGAGGTTCAATCACTGATTCCAAGTTGGTTTTAAGCACTCAGTACCACTCAGGTTAAAGCCAACAACCCCACTTTTCCATGCAAGGGCCATAGGTCTCAATAGGTAATTACGTCTATGTTTTTCTTAGAATCAGCAGCTGTCAGCAACATCAGCTAAATTCCAGCTGCATTGTGGAAAGCCGCTATGTGTAAACAAAGCTACTACTTTTCAGGGATAGGCACACATATACACACGAACATTTAAGTCAAGTATATCAGAATAAAAAATATAAAACATAAAACTGCTTTTTTAGGTTATGCACTCGTTTTGTGTTTTAAGGATTATGCAAGATAAATGTGAGTCTTGTAAACAGTGCATAAATGCCAAATGGAGAAGTAAACAGAATTTAGTTGAGCTTTGATCCTTCCCACAGTAGTTTCTTGACTAAGCTAAAAAAGAACCATTTAGAGACTATCAAAGCTATTTGCTGTTAGAAAGCAGTAACACAAACTATATTAAATATCCAATTCTGGTGGGGTCAAGGCAAGTGGCTTTTAACAAACAAGTTCCTTGTGGTGGATGATTTGATGTGTTCACTTTGTTTTCACTTTCAGTTGAGTTTTGTAGATAACTTCAGAGGAGTAGTATGTGTCCTTTGTGTTTTCTTTTGCTCTTGGTCTGGCCAGCTTAAGTGAAAAATGCCACAGTCATAGATATCATGGATTGTCTCTGAAGAATTTTATCTAACAGTGTATGCTAAGACCCCTCTCCAGAGTTCATTGAGAAATGATTCAGGGACAGCAGACAAATGATGCCCTGTTCTTGCAGTATCTTTCAAAAGAATTATCTCTGGGGCTTGTTTCTCCAATATCATGCCTTTAAACCAGCTTGTTTTCAGTACTTTAAGTTATGTGGTATGTGACAAGTGTGCGATAACAGTATGTCAGAGTTCATTTTGTTCTGTTTGCCGTTTAAACAAACAACCCATCCACACTCAAATAAGACTGCCAATCCTTTGATGATACTAGGTTTATAGTATGAAATGACCTGTTTCTAATGTATGTTTTCATTGGAGTTTTATTTCACAGTAGAGAAAGAAATAGGATTACATAGGAAAAGTATTGGTCTCCCTATTGCCTTTTTAAAAATATTTTTAAATTTTTCAATATTTTTTTTGGTTAAACAACAGACTTCAGAATTTAACTCTAACGTATTCAGTACTAAATTTCAAATGAATCAATGCATTTTTAAGACACATAATGCAATCCCATACAAAAGTTCTTTGAAGTACAAAGCTGCATGGGAAGTAAGCCAATCACCTAACAAAAGCCACAAAAGCCACAAAAGTCAATGCTACTATTATATACTCAATTTCCCCTATTAAAAGACAAAGGGCAGTGGCTCTATAATATATATACTTTTCTGGGGTGAAAATTTTTGGTATAAGTATTTCTATTCCATTATGAAAAAAGTGTCTTTAGTTTTCTTTGGTTTATAAAGTAAACTTTAAATATGAGCATATTTGAAATATGAATGTAAAGCCAAACCCCATGCAATATTTATTAACTCAGAGAGCTAAGGCCCCATGCATGACTTATATTTCTTGGCTTGGAAGCTGAGGAGAATTGGATTCGTTTATTACAGGGTGGGAAAGCCACCAAGTAATGTCAAATTGTGGGGTAGATTAGGAAGATGGAATATACATTACAAGAATACAATGGCAAAATATATCTGTTTTGTTGCTGAGAAAACTCCAGAGTTGTCTTATGAAGTCAAAAGGAACTTAGCTTGACTCATTGATACACATATCTAGCAGGAGATAGTTATGGTATTGAGAATAGGATTTATATTAGATATGCAATGCACAATCTAACAAATGTTTAGCTTATGTTTTAAATATTAAGGATCAAGATTTCCAAAACCATCTCAAAAGGGGTGGGATTTAAATTTCTTAACTAGTTCTGTGGGCATGGCCTAATTTGGGAGTGTGGCTTGGTGGTCATGTGACTGGCTGGGTGGGGCTTGTATGTAAATATTGATATAAATATTGAATTTTTTATTTTTTAAAAGAGCAACTTTTACCCAAAATCAGGCAAAGCGTTGGGCTCCGAGTTCACTCAGAGCCATCAGCTCCGAATATGCCTCACAGCAAGTCAGTTGGCTATGTCACCTTATCTCTGCTGCTGCCGGATCTGTATTTCTGCTTGTGTTCTGGCTGATGGCTTTAGAATGACTCAGCAGAGCTGAGGATGGATTCTGCAACAACTGCGGGGCTGCAGGATGGATTCTGCAACAACTGCACAGCTGCTGGAACTGGCTCTTTATTGATGTAGTGCATATTGTTAAAGAGGATTGGGACACAAATAGGTGATAATTAGGACTTTAGTTAAAACATGGTGAAGGTGGCACCAGGTGGGGATCAGTTAGTGAAGGTTGGAATAAGGTAGGGATGTAGACATGTTATAGGGTTAATAGCATTTAGGGATAATGGGTTAGGCGTGGCCAGAATTAGAACTGTGTATAGGCCTGGGTGTGTTGTGGTGTGTCTCATGATAATGGTGATAAAAGGAAAGGGAGCAAACTCAAACCCAACTCTAACCTTGCCTGGCTTTTAGCCATTCTTGCCTGATTAGAGTATTTGTTGTTTGATGCTATATTGAATAAACCATCATTGTCCTAAAGAGGAGCTGGAGTTTGGATTCTTTAAATGATTTAAAGACAAATCTTAAATACTAAAGGACTGGCTGAGAGGTCTAGGCAGGCAGATTGAGTTGCTCACAGAATCACAGATTCACTCAGATCTATCTTTCTCTGCAATCTGCTACCTGAGTCTGCACTGAACAATAGAAGCATCAGTCCTAATGAAGTTTCAGCTTTGCTTTTACATTAGCTAGAAAGCAAGAAATCCAACGA